GTCTAGGGGTTGGACTTCTCATTTGATGTCTTGTGGGAGTTCTCTGTATCTCTTGTGATTGACTGGTCACATCTCTGGTGACATGGGAAATATTTTCTTGGATTACTTCCTGGGATTCTTGATCCAAGTTGTTCTCCATTTTCCTTTCTTCTTCTGGGATACCAATCAGACCTATGTTTGGCCTCTTGATATAATAATACATCTCTTGTAGGCTTTGTTCTTTCTTTCTGTGTATTCGTTCTATGTTTTTTACATATTGGTTTAATTCCATGTTCTGGTCTTCAAGTTCTTAGATTCTTTCTTCAGCTAGACTAATTCTGTTTTCCATGCTTGTCATCTTGTTATTTATTTCCTTCAAGAAGTTTTTTATTGCCCAAATCTCTGTTACAAGTTCTTTCAGTGCTGCATCTTGTGTCTTATTTGCTTTCCCCAACCATTCCCTAATCCCTGTCATATTCTGGAGCCAGTCCTTGGTGACTTCCATTGTTTGAACTCCAAGTTCTGATTTTTCAGGAGTTTTGTCTTTGGTACACTTGAAATTGCCTGTGGTCTTCCTTTGCTTTTTCCTCATTTCTAACAGATCTCTTGTTATTCTCTTTACTTATGTTATTCAGTGTCAGTAGGAGAAGCTTTCCCTTCTCATGTTTGCTCAGCCCTCTATTCTTCCCTAATCTATGTTCTAGATTTGTTGTATTTTGAAATAGGATGGTGGATTGGAAGCTTTTCTGTCTCTTGTAGTTTTTGAATTTTGAATATAGTAGGGGAATGGGCACTAGGATTCAGAAATTACTTGCAAATTGCAATGTTCATTTATTGTGGTTTGTGTTCCCTAAGACCCACTCCCCACCCCCACTCTATATGTTTATTCCAAGCAAAAACTAGTACAAAAAACAGTACACACACACACACAGACATACACTCACTCCCCAAAACAAACTGGAATAGCAAAAAAGTGAAACAAAACAGACAATAACAAAAAAGAACACACGAACACATGCCTAGCACAAAGTGAATAGAGAAGAAAACAGAAAGACCACAAAAAAGGGGCATTCAGATCAAACCCTCACACATATATTAGCATGCATCTTAAAAAATAAAAATAAAAAAAACATAGGAGCAAAAGAGCAAAAACAAACCAACATCAACAACAAAATTGAAAGATGAACAATCATTCACATACACTCATAAAAAGAAAACAACAAATAAAAGAAATAGAGAAAGGAAAGAAAACAGATTGGGAGGGATGCAGATCAAATCCCTACATACACATTCATACACAATTATGAAATATTTTTTTTAAATAGATGAATTAACAGTCAAAAAATTTTTAAAAATTAAAAAAAGTTAATAATTAAAAAAAAACCTGCCCTCTTGTGGCAGGCTCTGCAATTGTTCCTCTAATCTGGTCTTTCCTGCAGAGCCACCTCTTTCACTCTCTCCTCAGTATCCAGAGCATGATAGGATGAGGAGCAGTGGAGGTGGGTGGGACTGTAGGCCTTTTCTCCTAATCTCGGGGTGCCCCAGCCAGGCCTGTCCTGAAATGGAGTTCTCCTATTGATACTGATGTCCAGGCTTTGAGTTTGTCCCTCTCAGTTGTGGCTCAGCTGTGTGGGTCTGACGTTCAGAGGATTGCTGGGGAGGAGGGGGTTTGCATCAGTTCCAGACTCACCACTGATCTCTTTGAAATCCTCCTTCCTCATCGTTTTCTGGCCACAGCCTTTGTCCTATGACTGGCTCAGGGTAGGAGATGGGGTACTTGGGACTCAGCACTCATCAGGTCCCTCTAAAGTTTGTGCTTTCAGGGTATTCCCTCTGGGTCACGATCAATCCATGAGAATTTGATCCGCCTCTCACAGAGATCAGGCCTGTGGCTCTGTGGTGAGAAAGTCAGAACATTCTCCTGCCCTGCCTTCAAGTTGGTAGTGGGGTGCCTCTCTTGTCCTCTTTCATAGGACTCTGCCTCTGGACTCCCTTCACAACCCCTGCTGCCAGTGCCCTGCCAGGTGCTGAAGTGGTGAACTAAAATCTGGAGCTGGCTGTCTCTCCTGCTGCTGTGGTGAGGCAGAACCTGGGATGGTAGTCTCTACCTGCTGCTTCTTCAGAGGAAAGCTTTTGTCCATCTAAAAAAATGACACTCAGCTTCTGTAGCCTGGGAAGAGCCAGGAATCAAGCAGAGAAGCTGCAGCACCAGTTGCTGGACCAAGGCCCTGTACACGTGCTTACAAGCCCCCACTTAGTTGTTATCTCCCAGCATTTTCTTCCCCGGAAGGGTTTTGTTGATGAAAAAAGAAAATGGCCCTCAGCTTCTGCCTCCCAGTAATTGCTAGGGTCCAAGCGAAGCAGCTGTGGCACCAGTCACTGCACTAGTCACTGCACCAGGAGAGCACTAGCCACTAACTCCCTAGCCCTCACTCAGTCTGCCACTCCCACTCTCACTCGCTTATCAGCATCTTCCTGACCACACCCACTGGTAGGTTTGTAAATGTAGAAAAAGAAAGAAAAAGAAAAAAGTATAAGAAAGAGCGAGCACACGAAGTGAACTCATAACACAGTTGTTATGAGTCCAGGAATTCTCATTGGTTTATAGAAACAGCATTGATGATTGATTGCTATAAATCGAAACAAATGATATGAGGGTGATAGTGTCCACAGTGGCATTATTGTGTTCATTTGTGGTAATAACAATCAGTTTCAAAAGATTAATACATTTTTCTCAGCAGAGAGTTGGATGTGATTGATACCTTATTTCAAAGTCTCGCTGGGCCTGACAATTTCAGAGAACTTACATTTCTCGGATAAATGTTTGTTTTTTCTTTTTACCCAAAGTTGTTTGTCAGGAATAATTTTCAGTTTATAGAAACAACATTGATCAGTGATTGACTGTACATTATGTGTATTATGGTGTCCCATGTGTGGCATTGTTAGTTGTGATGATAGCAAGATGTTTCATGTGATGATTACTTAGCTTGAGGGTAAAACTGGAACATGGCTGCTATCTCATTCCTGTTCCTCCCGAGGCCTTATAGTTTAGGAGAGGCTTACATTTCTCAGATAAAAATCATCTTTCTTTCTCACTGTATTAAATAATTTCTGCATGGATTATCTAGAGTGACTCCTTTTTTTGCTGTGTGACTCCTCACTAATTCTATATCCTGATGTGTTAGAAGAAAAAATTAAGACAAAGTAAATTTCATTGTAAATGAGCAAAGAACAATTTGTGATTCAAATAGTGTTAGCAGAAATGCTGATTTTGGGTTCACTGGTTAATCATGAACAAAGAATTGGACAGGGCACCAGACTCAGGACCACAAGGCAACATTTTATTGCAAGCAAGTAAAGCAGAGCAGAGTTTTTAGAGTAAACTAATGACATCTAAGAATCAAGAGGAACAGTAGGTTCAGAGAGTGAGACAGCCCCATTTATTTCTTTGACTTGGTTTTTATAGTTTTCTTTGTTTTAGTCTCTTATTGTGGTTGGTTAGTTTCTTCTCAGGCTTATTTTCCCTCTTTATAATTAGGTTACAAATTCATGTGATCTTTGACATAAACTAATGTTTAGATATTGTTCATTCTATCTTGTTAAAGTTACAAGTGTTTTTAAATGATTAGGGAGTTACATATCTTCCATCTTTTCCGTGATTTATTGCTCATACATGTAATGAGATCTAGTTTACAAACCAAGCTAATGATTAACATAAAAAATAAGTATGGCCAGGTGTGCTGGCTGAGGCCTGTAATCCCAGCACTTTGGGAGGTGAAGGTGAAAGGATTGCTTGAGCCCAGGGGTGGAGACCATCCTAGGTAACTTGGAGAAACCTCATCTCTATAATAAATCAAAAAATTAGTCAAGTGTCTTGCATGCCTGTAGTTTCAGTTACTTGGAAGGCTGAAGTGGAAGGATCAGCTGACTACAGCAATTCAAGACTGCAGTGGCCATAATCATGCTACTGCAATCTAGCCTGGATGACAGAGTGAGACCTCAACTTAAACAAACAAACAACCAAACAAAAAATCATAAGTCTGGAACTAAATACCACAAAGGAAAGGAGTTTAAATTATCAGGATTTTAGGGAGTTTCAAACCAACCCAACAAGATTCCTCCTCATCTAGGCTTGCAGATGTTTCTTTAAAGAAGTAGCTTCTCCATTCCTCTTGCTTATTAAGTGGTTTAATATGACAGTTTTTTTCTCTCAAACATTACCCGTGATTTACTAGATAAGGTCAGCCTCCCTAACAGGTTATATCAGGAAGAGAGGAGAAAGCTCCATTCTTAAGGGCAGTAGAGAGAAAAAAAATGTGCCTTTTTAAAAAAAATCTAAGTTGCTTTTGAATTCAGCTCAGCTAATCATAAAATTTCTAAAATGAGTAAATAACTGAATGTCAGCTGGCTTCCCATTGTTTACCCTTTTCGCTCTTCATCTTCTGCTCATGTCTAACTCCCTAACAATATCACCAACATCATCCAACCACAATAGGTTCAGAAGGACCTTCTAGGTTGCCCCATAAACAGATAATAATTATAGATAGAAAAAAAGTGACATACAGAAAAAGAAAGTGAGTTATGGAAGCAGTTAAATTGATTATAGTGAGGTGTTTGACTTATCTGAACATGATTTGAACAGGTGGTCACCTGTGATTGGCTGAAATTCTGTGATTTATACCAGAGTAGGTTATAGTCTTATTATAGTTTACTCTGTACAGAGAGAGTAAGAAGCAAGCATAGGCCGAATTTGACAGATGTAAAGAAATGGTTTTAGTCTAATCTTAATTTGACAAGTGTAATCCTCTCTGTCCTTTATTAAATTAAGAAAGATATTGCCAAGTCTGTGCTGCTGCAGATGAGAAGGAGGAAAGACAGTTAAGGTGAAGAAAAGACTTTCTGACTTTTTCCCACTGCTTCCCAGAATCCTACAGGTCATATAAGAAACACTCTCAGTAGACAGAGGCATGAAGAGAAGCATCTGGGGTAGCCCAGCCTCACACATCTGCTTTCCTGGGGGTTTATGTTATGGCTTGTAATACTGTGGGAGGAGTACCGTAACCATGTTGACAAAAATAAACAGCAGCATCTTCAGACTGCAGGGTGTTAATGGTGAGAGTGAAATCTGTCCCAGACCCACTACCACTGAACCTCGATGGGACCCCAGATTGCAAGCTAGATGCCCTATAGATCAGGGGTTTAGGAGGATTCCCTGGTTTCTGCTGATACCAGTGTAAATAATTGCTAATGTCCTGACTCGCCCGGCAAGTGATGGTGACTCTGTCTCCTAGAGATGCTGAGAGGGATAATGGAGACTGGGTCATCTGGATGTCACATCTGGCACCTGAGATTGAAAACATAAAAACAAATATAAATACAATTATGTTATATGAGGACTTCCCTGAATGACCAGGTAGGACTGCTCATACTTTCTGAATCAATTCCTAGCCTTCTCCTTCCTTACCTGAAAGCCAGAGCAGCAGGAGCCCCAGGAGCTGAGTGGGTGCCCTCATGCCCATGCTGTGTCCTCACTTGAACTGACTCCTATACAGGATGTGACCAGCTTATTAATAAATCTTCAAGGCAATGAGTCGTGCTCTGGACACATGCAAATCACTGGGGTATGGGACAAGCTGAGCACAGCTGCAGGACTGGCTCATCACAAGGAAACTATAACTCAGCACAGGTGCAGTATCCACTGTGTCCTAGGTCAGACCGGGGCAGCAAAGATTTGTCTGAAGGGAATGTGCTTATTTTTTAAAATTTCCTCTGGGGGCCTTTTTGTTACAAAAGAGATGACGGGAAAAACTGTCACAACTGAAGAGGACCTAAGACTAGATGGAGTAAGGCATTTCATAGCTGCATGGGGATAATGTAGATGAATACCCTTGTTTGTAGGAAATACATTTAAAGTCTTAGAGGGTCTGCCTCTAAGTCTTTTTGTTTGTTTGTTTTGAGTTGGAGTCTCACTCTGTCACCCAGACTGGAGTGCAGTGGCTGCTCCCGACCACCGCTGCCTTGACTGGCTGGGTTCCGGTGATCCTTCCACCTCAGCCTTCCAAGTAGCCGGAATTACAGGCATGCGCTACCACGCCTGGCTGATTTTTTGATTTATTGTAGAGATGAGGTCTTGCTGCCCAGGCAGGTTTCGATTTCTCAGATGTTTCTGTTGGGAAAGAACATGCTATACTTACATTTCTGTGACTATGAAATTGTTTGTTTTAATATGAAAAATGTATTGATTAGCAGAATTTCAAAATAGTCTATAGCACTTTATAATGACATTAATATATTGTTATTACCAGTATGAGGTCAAGCTGTTCACTGCAGGCAAGCAAAGATAATACCATGATTCCTCAATGTATTTGTCAATCAGAGATTCACTTGTATCCAATGCTATTGGTCTCTTTAATACCCAGAATCTAAATGGACTGCATCCTACTCTTGGTGTAGATTTTCTTATTCTACCCTCATTCAGTATTACCTACTATAGCTCATTAAGTATGAAGGGTTGACTAGTGAGACCTCATTTAATTGCTTCAACAAAAATCACTGGTGGTCTGTGCATGGTCCTGCCTTTCACCCACAATGCCACTTTCCTCTTTTACTTTTCAGAAGTGAATGAGGACATCATCCTCACCTCGATGCCAGCCTCCCTGCCTTCATCTCCAGGAGAGAGTCACCCTCTTGTGACAAGCCAGCACCAATGTACATGGAGAAATATCTGGAATCCAAATAAAACATACCTCAATTAGTGATGACAGAATATATGTATAAATAACCCAGCTTCCACACCTCTCAGGTGGAATAATCAGAGACCTTTTCTCTGTATTTCCAAGTTGGGTTGAGATCCTGTTGTCATCAGTGTTAACTGATCACTGAGGTAGTTTTTTGTTTTGCTTTGTTTTTTGCTGTTTTGTTGTTTTGTTTTTCCATCCATCTTCTTTTCTCTGTCTTACTTTCCTCCTAACTTTCTAGAATTTCTTGCACCTGAAATCATGCTGCCTGCATGAAAATTCTTATAATTGATGGATCCAATCAAAGACATTGGACAAATTCTCATTCTTGAATAGTATATATGGCCCGAATTCTTGCCAAATTTATTTTCTGACAGGTAGAAAACGTATTGATATTTTAGAAATATTTAATTTCCCTTTAATGATCTATCCTAGACTGTATTGAAATACTTATTCCTTTCTGCATTAAAAATTGAAATGAGGCTCTAATAGATAGCTACATACCATAAATTTCACTTTAGAAGCAGAATCTACTAGAACATAAAATTCATAGACATGAAGGTTCCTGAATCCAGATTTCTTTCAGTTCTGCTGCTTCATAAGTATTCCTTGTGATTTTTATTATACTTTAAGAAAGGAGAGGTGTAGAAATAAGAGATTTTAGTGTGATAAATAATACCACAACCCCCCAAAATAACCATGTCTTAACTTTATAGCTAAAGAATGCCACCTTCTATGCAAAAAAACCCAAAAAACTTGTGAAACATGACTAAGTTAATAATTTTAAGATCTGGAGATTATCCTGGATTATCTGAGAGAGATCAATACAAGTCTTCTCATATTAGGAGGTAGGATGGCCACAGTTAGAGATAAAGATAGGACAACTGAAATGGATACTGATGTGATAGAACAAGGGAGCACAAAGAAGAATGAGAGAACATCTAGAATATGGAAAACCAGAAACTGAAATTCTTTCCCCTGGAGCCTCCGGAAAGACTCTTGCCCTATTGATACCTTTGATTTTAGCTCAGTGAAACTTCTACCCTGCAGAACTGTATGGTGAAAAGTTTGTGTTGAAGGCAATAAGGCTATAGTAATTTTTACAACAGTCATAGAAAACTAATACTATAGTAGAGAACCTGAATCCAAAGTTGTCCTCTATTCTCCAAAACATTTCTACCATGTTATCATTTGGTGCCAATTTTGACAAGAGACAAAAAACTTTTTATTGTGAGGAGAGTTAGCACCAGAATGTTTCTTAGGTACAAAATATCTTAGGTAAATATCCTGTATTATCTCTTGAACAATCTTGGAATCTGAGAGCCTAGGAATCTGTTCGGGATAGAAGAGAGGTTTTGTTTGTTTGTTTGTTTGTTTTTTCATACTGGAAGAAAAAAATATATTTCAAGGGCACAATCTGAGAGGGAAAGACTGAGTCAGAGAGCTTGGAAGGGAGAGAAGAGATGAAGAAGGGATCAGGGCAGTGCAAGATGTGTCCCATTCCCAATACTTCAAATAAAGTTGTTTCATAGTTGAGAAAGTTGTGTTTGTATACCAACCCGCAGAAGGGGCTGAGTGTAAGTTTAGGGTCACTGGGGCAATGGGCAAGGGCAGCAGGGAGCTGTCAATTTCTCATCATCATCCTGGTCCTTCTCTTCTCCTATTTTATAGACTTTGAGCTCCTCTGTGGACTGAATGGGACCATAGGAAAGGAACATATTTAATGTCAGACAGAACTGGGCTCAAAACACAGCCTCTACCCTTGCTGACCATGTGACTTTGGGCAAACTCCTTCTGCTTTGAGAAATAGTTTCTCCTCGGTGAAATGGAGGCCTTACCCACGAAATAATGCAAAACAATCTCACCTTTTAAAGATTTTTAATTTACATTTTAAAAGATATTTTCCCATATAGGGTAGCATTAACAACCTCTAAAGAATAAGGTCTGATTTTGAGCACCGTATTCAGTCTACTCTACTGTTACAGTACAAACTCTTTGTAGTACCTCTCTCTATTTCTCTCTTTCTCTGTTAATTTCTCCACCATGATCACAAATCACTTCCTTTCCCTAAATGTACCCAGTGGCAGCCATGTCCAAGTTCAGTGTACAGAGAGGCAAACACAGAATAGTCTGCTCAGAGTTTACTTAAAGACCTGCTCTGTGTCCCATTATCATGCATAAGGAAGGAAACAGCCAAAGACAGTCCTTGGCCATCTAGCAAGAAGCCCTGGGGTTAAATGTCTTATAACAAACAGAAGTTGAACCAATAATTCCAGACTTCCAATACATCCAGAATCTGACCTCTCTTCATTTTTATTTCCCCACACTTTCTGACATCTTTATTCAACTATCTTTTACCTGGACCATGAGCATCTCTCTTCGGAGACCTCCCAGCTTCTCCTTTGGCCCTTGTTCCATGATAAATAGTCTGAACCCTTGGGATCCTAAGACTGTGACCACGGGTTGGAGTTCTCATCCTTTCTTTCCACACACACACAAACACACACACAGCAATTCTCAGGACTCACTCTAGCCTCCTCCATACTGTGAAGCAAGAATCACTATCCTGCTACCCTCCCTGGAATCCAGCACTGATTGGAACTGTTTCCTTGTTAGCCCTCCAAATGCACCCTCTGACAGGGACCTAGCTAGAGAGTCAGCATTTGCCCATCAAAAACTACTGAGAAGGCAGGAAACCTGCAAACACTATTTTGGTATTGAAGAGATACATATAATACCCAGGTTTTATGTCTTCTCTGATTGTTCCTGTCTCTTTCAGTCCGTCCATGACTGAGGGAGAATTTAAGAAAAGGAGGCTGTTTGGTGTTTGGAATTTTAAAAAAATAGAACTGGAGGACAGAAAAATTTATAAACTCTTTGAAGTAGTTTGGGTTGCTCTAGCCATGAATATCGCATGTCCAAGATGCCAGGGAGAACATCAATTATTATAGTTCCTGCCTTTCATGCCTCACATTTTCACAAACACTTACAGTTAAGATAATGTCTATCCTCTTCTAAATAATAAGTCAAAGTCTCTCTAGGATTTTTTTTTTATAAGTCTTTTCTGGTTAAGTTAGCGTAATTTTGGAAGCAAGTGGAAGAAATGATTAAAAGAGGTTAAGCAATGTTGAGATGCCAGAAAGCTGGAGAATAAAGTTTATACAGCAGCTTGGTGAGAGCTGAAAGGACTCATGTGCGTTCTGTATTTCTGTTTGAGCCCTCACCACACTGGATTTTCAGTCTTGGGATCATTGCCTCATGGTCTCAAGATGGCTGCAGTGGCTAAGTATCATGTTCTTTTACAACTCTTCCAGGAGGAAACGCAGAGCAATGCTCTTAATTTTTCTTTCTGTGAGGGATCAAAATCCTCCCCAGAATTTTGCCTAATCCCCTACTTCCTCACATCTCATTATGGAGCTGATTATTTGTGCCCCTAATCCCTACTTCTGTCTTAGGCTAGATGAAGCTCACTGTCTCTACCACGTACAACAGGACAGAACTAGTGCTGGATACACAAAAGGGAGAGGGAGATAGTTATTATGGAAGAGGACAAGAACTTTGTGACATTTAAATTTTAATGTGTCTAAGTGAAGATGTATGGGAAGAGAGATCCCAAGAGCATCTTTCTCTGGTAGGGTGAAACAAACAGGCAATGAAGTCAAATTCCAATTTTCCAGATGACATTATTAGCATCAGCTATTGTAAAAATGTGGGTGGACAGGTGTTCAGGAAAAGTAGGGATATATTTGGAACAGGGTCTTCAATCCAGGGCTAAGGTCAGCTTGTGCTA